GTACACAAGTAGGAATCCTGAAACCAAATTGCCATGGAGATGAATGTATCAACCGAAAAGGGAAACCTTCTTTAAACGTGCAAGCCACTTGTGATGCCAGAGAGATGTTCACAAGTGTTGATATCAGTTGGCCTGGATCAGTGCATGATTCCAGAATATGGAGAAATTTACAGATTAGATCACAACTAATAAATAAGGCGATGACGGTTATGATACTGAGCCATGCCTTATGACTCCCTTCAGAAATCCTACTCCAGGTGCAGAAATAAATTATAATAAGCATTTAAAACAAGAATGAGTTATACTTGAATGCTGTTTCGGCCAATTAAACGCCGGTTTCCTATCCTACAGTATGTTGCTTGTATTGTACTCCATAATGTTGCGAAGAGATGGGCGATCCTGACTTTGAGTTAGTTTAACAAGACCCAGATGAAGATGAAGGAAATCATGAGAATGACGAACTTCCTCACCGCCAACTATGTCAACCAATAAGAAGAAACTTGAGTATTATAATAAATAGTTTTACTGATTAAAGTGGATTTATAAGCTATAATAAGTTTTATTTTCGTGAACATCATAAGTTACAGGTGGCTTCTGACGCTGCATCATTTCTAATTTCGTTTTATAATACTCTTGTTGTAAAATACTTGATTGGTACTGCTGTAATAGCACAAGACATTGCAGTTCTTTTGTAGTTAACCCTTTGGTTTCCTCAGTTTCGTATTTCTCTGTTTCTAATTTTCTTTTTGGTGGCACTGTCTTCTGAATTGCTGGCGCTGTAATACTAACTGTTTGCTCACTGCGCTCGGTATATAGTTCACTACCTTCTTCTTGAACACTACCAACCTGAATGGTACCTCTAATTTTTCCAATTGTAAGATTACAGTCACCTTCCATAGCATTCAGCAACTTTCTTTCATAATCTAACAATTTAATTGCTTTATTACCAGTTTTTTTTAGATCTGTTTTTTTCTTCAATCTTGATTTCATGTTGCTGAATTTTTTTAATAAGCCTTTAGTATCTAATGGTTTACCGAATGTTGATTCGTATTTTTTCAACATCTTCTTAAAGGCATATTCCTTTCTCATTTTTATTTTTGGAACTTGTGACTTTTGCAAAATAATGGGAGCAATGGCAATTTCATCTGCGATGAACTGCAGGTCGTTGCCATTATTTTCTACAGTTTCGTCATCACTTGAGGATGACATGCTTATTTATTTGATAAAAAACTGTATCCAGTAAAAATACGGAACGGTCTGTGTAAGCTCTGGAGTACAACTGTCAGTGATGCTGAGTGAACGAACTCCCACGTCAACTACAAGCTGGAACAAGTCAGGATATGTCGCTCAAGATAAAAATACCAGTCAACCATTTACTTCTTCTTGGAGGATATCCTCGCGAGTATAAGTTAATCATTATGAATATGAAAACAAGGATATGCTTATACTTCTACCTTTTTCTCCAAAGCAAGACCTTATACTTTTACTTTATGCTTCCGAGGATATGCTTCTTTTTTTATTAATACGGCTCATTGTATCGCTTACATGTCTAAAAACTGTAAACTTGGAAAAAATCTAAGGCAGCTTTTTGATAAAATGTTCTAAAAATCTAAAAACACTGATCGCAGCGGAGAAAATATTTTTTGTTGACGCAAATTTGGGAAAGTCAACCTGCAGATCCGTTAATAGCAAAAAACCCGAATCAGAATATTTTTCTCATCAGATACGAAGACGAGATTGTCCATACATGGACGCGTTTAGATACAGCTCTTATAACTCAATGGAATCCTTTTTTACTCAGTATTTTAAAACTAATAAGTGAATGCATACATTTTAAACATAATAAATATTAATATGTGGAGTCAAAGTGGCTAGTTGTAGGTTCACACCTTACAGAGTGAATGGTAAAGTCATTAAAAAACAAAAGGTCAAATATAAGAATGAGTAGTTAAATTGTTTAATAGAATTCCCCTGTTTTCAAAACAAAAATCTCTCAGAACATTGACTTAATGCTAGATTTTTGTGAAGGAAATCGATTTTTTCGACATAATTACCAACAACTGTACAGGGTATAAACGTTATGATAGTCATTATTTAAATGGGTGATAGAGGCGGTTAAAAGAACCAAAACGTTTCAAATAACATGCGGGACAAAACGGCATTATTTAGAGAAAAGCGACTTCAAAGTAAAATAAAATCTGACAACGCCGCAATGCCAGACGCAAATTAAGACGGAACGCAATGTAAATAAAGGAGTTTGGGCTCTTAGGTCTTATTTCATTATTTGATAATGTACTAAAAAACCGACTTGCCATGTGTGAGTATTATGGAAATTCAATATCCCGTCTCGCGTAAAAGTACATTCGTCCGTCGCTAGAATGTTTTTGAAAAAATCCGGACTGTCAATGTTTTTGTGCAAAAGCCACAGACAGAATGTTAGTCTGCGAGGATAGTCTTCTGGTAAGAAGGCCTGCACTCGTTGAACATGGTAGAGATAAAGCAAATTTTCCCATAGGATTCTATGGACTATGGTATGGGATAGTCCTACGCGGCGGCCAAATTCCCGAGTGCTGATATCTGCATTGATTTCCACGGTATTTAAAATTTGTTCCTCCTGCTCTACAGTAACCTGTCTTTCACGAGTGCGAATATTAGTGGGCTGAACACTTCCTGTATCTCGAAGTCTTTGGTACACTTGCACAAATGTCCTTCTGTCTGGGTGTACCCGTTGACGAAATCTGTCGCGATAAATTTGAGCTGCAAGATTAGAATTCTGATGAGCTTCACCGTAAACTAACAACATGTCGGCGAACTCTTGATTCGAGAACATTGTAATTAAACACTACGGCGTACGCGAACAATAACTAACCACTGTTACCGTTTGCGATCGATTACAGGTTCGATACGAGTGATGATGACCGACGCGCTGTTGTCATGTGTGTTTTAAATATTTAATTTAATGAAACTTACTTACTTACTGACTACAAATTTTGGCTTAACTTAGAAAAACTTAATGCCATTTATTTGTTAATTACCTAATTTAAAAACGTTTTAGATTAGATTATAAAAATTGGTAAGGTTGTGGTGATGGTGGTCGATATAAAGCACTTAAAGTTGTAAACTATAAAGCCTTTTAGACAAAAATCTATTGACTTTTGGACCATGGGTCATATGAACTTTTTGACTTGTTTTGACCCCCCTATTACCCATTTCAATAATGACTACCATAACGTTTACACCCTGTATAGCCGAATTCACTGTCACTTTAATAAATTTTGAATTGGAAAGATAAGCATCACTCCACTTAATACTTGCAAATGCATGATTTTTACATAAATAATTAAATGGCAAATAAAAGAAACCACTTTCATAATAATTGGTTTTTAATTTTCACGTTATATTGCATATTCAAGCAATTTTCAAATTTTATTATGAGTAGTTTCAATAGACGACTGTGATTATGGTATAACTACCATATTAAAAATAACTTAAGTGAAAATAGTATTGCCGGATAGAGATTGTTTTGATACTGCGATCATTTACACGGATATGGTTATACAGGGAAAGCCAAATTTGTCTGACGGCTTGACTTCAATCTGTACGAGAGAGAAACGCGAGGAGTGTGTACCCACACATGCTAGAAGAAGGTAGAAGCCAGCTTCTTCAGCGAAGATCATCACCACGTTGTCTAGCGACGCAAAAGGTCGTGCAATATGCCGCGTTGCCAAATATGTTACACCAGAAAATGTTAGCACAGGCTGCTACAATAGGTTACGTTACTGTCAAACCGACAGAAAGAGGTCTGTTCGAACATTTGATTTAATATTTTGTTTTCATTTTGATTAGAATTACTTATTTCAATTTTCATGCGACTTAGTGTTTTAATTTATTTCAGAATTATCTTTGATTTCCACTGATGATGATAAAATCAACACAACCCGAGCTATTGTTATATTTTGCGACAGCACTGCGGTCGGAAAATGTAACAAATAACAATACGAGCTAGATGGGTACTGACCAAAATCACTCAACTATGATCATGAAGATGGAAACTTTTCCTTGGAATGTACAACATGCGGTGTTATCTAATGAACCAATGATGCAATGTTGCAGAATTTGTGGCAATCCTGACTTTTCATCTTAACCTAAAATGGAGCGCCATTAGAACCGATCAGGAATTAATCTAAACAGATTTGACACAATTCATAATCCAAAAATGTGTACGCTCAAAACAAAACCATTATTTGGGCGTAAAGACAGTAGTACATATACTCTCTATATGCATATGGCTACGCTGCAAACCGCTGCGTCAGCGTTGCTAGGCGTCGCGGTGATGGGATTCGCTATCCAGGCGGCTTCTGTCTCTTTCTAACATGATGTATGTCTATCCACACTTGCCTCTCATATACATTAAACTCACGCCATCAGATAAATCTGGTTCTCAGTGTAAATAAGACTAGATAGAGGTAGAAATAATCAAACGAAGTTTCGAAATAAGGGCACAGGTTCAACCACCTGGACCCTCAAATAAAAATGAAAAATTATAGTTTCTATTCCCCTATTACAAAATCACAATAATGAACATTTGTTGTTCTCTTTAGCTCATTATATCCAGGGATAATCAAATTTTGAAGTAACTTGAGAAAATGCAGATATTTTATTCGCTGTGTGCATGATTATTATTTTTGTAGTTTGTCTACTATTTATAGACAAAGTTAGCGCGAACTACAAAACTACCTTGGACTTATTGTGAAAGTGACTTGTAATTACAATAATTTTGAAACCTATAAAATAGCTGCTGGTTATCCTTGCTGATTCACACGATTTGTAATGATCATCCCAGTGCGTTTTAGTCGTGTATCCAACATCCAACATGCTCTCGTATTAGATATTATTATATTGGATATTGTCACAGATACTGAGAGAATAAACACGTTGTTTTAAGAGTAGAGACGAACCAATTAACTTGAAATTTATAATAGAAAATAAGTATTACTGACCTGGTTGAAACTTCATGGTGATTCCTACAGAGGTGTCTTTTCTAAGTCTGCAAGGGGGCTTGTTACATCCTCCAACTTGAATTCGCTCATTGAGGTTATCTATGGTTCTTTCTGCAACAAAAAGTAAATATCTGAGACGAAAACCAATAATATAGAAGCTTAGGGTGACATTCACAAACATCACTTCAGGGTCCCTTGATACTTAAGAAACCCTTAATGGCTATTTCGTGTTTCATAGTCTCTGGGATAAATCTGTTCAGTTTCGATGATGAACAAGAGTTTCAGGCACGATATAGATTCTCAAAAGTCAAAGTAAGGGCCGTATCGTCAGTCGTTCCTACAATTGTAGGATGCCTTTCATAGTCTTCCCTCTCCTTCAGAAAGGCTGGGATATTATTTATAGATGTCTACTATTCCCTGTTAGCGTCAGTGCTCTCCTATTGTCAGGCTATGTTTTCTTCTGGAATTGTACGAAATTTCAGGCTATATATTAGACGGTATAGATCAAATATGAACAATTTGATACAAATAGATATTTGTAACATAACCTCAAAACAGAGCGCTGAGACGGAAGAGTAGAAAACAATGAAAATCAAGAAGGCCATAACCCTTTCATTTGTTGGGTCAGTCTCAGCTGATGAAGGGAGACCACATCCAGTTGCTAGTATCTTGTATTTCCTTTCGGTATTTGACTTCCTTGTCCTGTAGATGTGGAAAATGTACCAGAGATTTGAACTTCTTCCCGTTCAAGTGATTGTAAAAATATCCGCATGTTTCCACACCTAAGCTATGCACTCGGTTATCTTCCAAAACAAAGAAATTAATGATGACGGATCCCTTGAATACTAAGAACTCCGGACGTAAACTCACTCCACTCTCGGAATGTCCAAGTCGAGGGTGGGTGTTCCCCAGGGATCGTTCTTGGCTCCGACACTGTTTCTCTTACATATCAACGACCTCCTTTCCTGCACGATCAACAGAATCCACAGCTTCGCTGATGACAGCACTCTACATACAGGAATTCAGAGTGACAATCCGATCTCTACCGCTGAGCTGGAAAAAAGAAGACTAGCTCTGACAAGAGACCTGGAGACTATCACTGCTTGGGGACGCAACAATCTTGTACAGTTCAATGCTTCCAAAACACAGTACTGTACTTTGACGAACAAAAAGCGTCCTAGCGCTCACCCGGTTTCGATGGATGGCCGAGATCTGCCAAAGAGCCATTCATTTCGGCTGGTCGTAATCCAGATTACCGAGGACCTGATCTTTCACGAACACATCTCGTCAATAGCTGCAACTGCTGGGAAAAAGCTAGGCTATTTGTTTAGGACTAAGAAGTACTTTTCTCCGCATGACGTTCTCACTCTATACAAGGCCCACATAAGGCCTAGCCTCGAGTATTGCTCACACGTTTGGGGTGCTGCCGCCCCGACTACATTATCCATGCTCGATGCTGTCCAGAGGAGGGCGGTCCGACTGATCGATGACTCTTCTCTAATAGACAGTCTCGGGACTCTTTCGCACCGGCGGGAGGTCGACGATCTAGCTCTTTTCTACCGCTACACCAATGGGCTTTGCTCCTCAGAGCTCTCTTCGATGATGCCGCCGCGCGATGTGCCTGCCAGACAGACCCGCCTGACTTTGGCGTCCCATCCTAACCGTGTCGAACTTCGTACATCCAGAACCGGTCGATACGACCGCTCATTTGTCCCGAGGGTGTCGAGATTGTGGAACAATCTACAAGAGGAAGCTTTTCCCAGGTCTACTAACCTTAGGCAGTTTAAAAATCGTATTAGTAAAATTTCTTTGGGATCATCGTAGCAGCCGCGATGTTCCGGCATTTAGGCTTCTGCCTGCGCGGCTGCTTTGATATAAAAAAAAATACAGGTTTTATATTTTTCCATAGCTTCTTCAGTTGCTTTGAATCGCTTTAGATCACTCTCTGGGAGTTGTACAAAATGCTTATCTTTCCTAGGCTTCTCGCTTCTTTCGTATGTATACACCATCGGTTTTTAAGATTCCATAATGTCTTTATATTCTTCAATTAGGCTGCATAATACGAATTTCTCAGCATCTGAATAGTATCAGTCCTCTTGATATGTGTGACTTCAAACACAAATGCCAAAACCATAAACAGCAAACAGGTTAACAGAAATTTGATTTAAATTTGCCAGTCATGACGTTGACAATTTCGAGTACCTTAGGGTGACTTCATTGAGATACCCTCAAGTATTCTTGTGTGTGACGATTAAGAATACGACTGTTAGTTCAGACGCCACTTTAGATAGCCCAAAATATGTGGCAGATATTTAATAGATCATGAATAGGAGAATTATATAAAAAATTCGTACGTTTTAACGGGTAAAATGTTCCTTATCATCTACAGGATGTAGATCAACACAGTAAATAAACGGGTAACATGAAACAACTATGTAGAAAACTGTACTACCAAAGATATAAGCAAGAACAATGCCAAGGGCGAAATGGGCAAGGAAGCTGATAATAGCCTATTGTGTATCGTGAACTGAGCGTGAACCATTATACAAATATCATTGAAATGAATGCTTATATAAACCGAACACTACCTTCAATGGATACGTAATGTTCCATGGCATTTACATTTTAGGGGCAGAATTATGAAGTTATCTAGTCAAAAATACTGCTAGTTTCACTTGCATATAATATTTACTTAAGTGCGACGTCTAGGCGTGGTCTGGGAAACAGCACTGAGACGGCTAGACGACACAATTGCGCTTGCACGTCTTATTCATCCTTAGTGCAAAAAATGATAAGCATTCGTTGACCTCTGTATTATTAAAACGTGCTCATTTTCAAAAAAATAAGATCTCTACACTCATTCGTCATGGACAAACTATTTGAGGCAATTTTGTCCTAAATTCAGCTTGTTATATTTATCTAATAAATATAACTTAATTTGCAAGTTTCAACTATTTGCCAGTCAATAACTCGTGGAGCTTCACACATTGGATTTTGAACCTTCCTCTGTAGACGTAAGACTCATACTACAAGTGTAAAACTTTATACGCTGGCTCTCTCATCGGATTTCGACGCTATAGTTCTACTTTTAAATAATGTGTAAAATATTGGTGTATCTACCTAAAATGTTTAATAGGCTCACAAAAACAATTTGGAATTACGTGGTAAGAGTCAATCTACATGTTCTTTTTTTTCATATTAGGTTTTAAATGAATTCACCTTGTAATATAGCGAACTGGAATTGTAAATTATATTATTGAAAAAACATGGGATAATTCGATTGTTATGCATTTCCTGTAGGCCAGTTAAACAGGTCATTTGTGTAGATTCACGGGTACCATTCACACGCGCCCACAACTTAACATATGACATTCATTCAACTGTTAATGATTGCTCATGTCTATACAATTAAAAATACACGAGTTCGCCCCAAGGCATCAGTAATTATTTTATGTTGAATGGTGCGTTTACTTCTTTGTTAATATATGGATACAGGTGTGAAAAGTGAACGCTGGACGTTGATCCATGGCATGATCGATTTTTTTTACTTTCTAAAACCGCGGGTGATGTAGCACTTATTCTTTTACAAGGTGGTCTTGCTGCTGCTAATTCTGAGAACTAAACTTCCGATGGATACCAGAAAATGAAACATGTACACTACGAATGATTTTTGTCCTTCCTCTGACGTTGTCTGGTTTTTGGATCTAGATCTGTCAAACTGTCGAATTGATGCTATGACTCAGCTGAAGACCTCTGAAAAGGTCTGACAGGCAACTTCCCTCGTTGTTGTTCATTATGAAATGTTCACTTTTATATTGCTAAGGAATACCTCAATTCGTCAGCATAACGAGTATATCCAATATAATCCAATCAAGAAATTAAACTACAACAAAGTGAAATGCTGGGAAATTGAGTTGAAAATGGAGAAAAATATAGAAACAACCTACTAAGAATTCCTCTACAGGTAATAATCGTTAGCAAAGCTACTGCATTTTTCCATGTTCTTATGTATAAGTTTCGAGTAGTTGACAGTTTGAGGTTACACATGGTTATGCCCAAAACAGGCTCACCCAAAGTTTCGGGGATCATTCTATCCCCGAATTGCAGAAACGTAGTTAAGATGAAACAATTAAAGAATTAAATAAAGATAACAGAGACATAACATAGGAGAAAGTGTCGTCAAGTAGGTTCACTCTGCAGTTCCTAGACAAATCTGTCATCAAGACATCCTTACAGTTAGGATCAATACTCTATAGTCCCCACTCATTTAATAACGCGAACGCTAGTTTCTTCCCTGTCCTAAGTACCGACCATCAGCCATGATGCTTTAACTCGAGAACGAGAACGCCGGCCATGGAGTCAGCCGCACACAGTCTGGCGCATGGAGGTTACCATCGTCCCGATCGACCGCGTATTCCGTCTATAAATATTTCTGTTTTTAGGGCAAATGTACGGGGAATTCTAGGATGTGTAAAATTGCGTAAAATTATCGAGGTTGGAAGAGTATAAACATACTGCCATCAAAAAAATGAGATACACCATCCCCTATCCTATACAATCCCCAATCCCCGATTTTAAACCACTACAAAAAAGATTCTGAAAATGATCAGGAGCTTCTGAAACATCATAAAGCAAAGTTTGAACGATTTGTATTTTTTCGGTTCTTGCTCTTTACGCCGTAGCCACTGGATCGATTTTATAAGACTAAAAGGCTTTTTCGTCATTCGCATAGTAGTTATCTCGTGTGTGAGCGGTACTTTCCATATTATAGACGGGCCAAGGATTAGCGAGCAGATAGACTGACAGAGAAACTATCAGACCGACTGACAAATCGACAGACTGACAGACCGACAGTTGTTTGTATATGTGATATAACATCTAAAAAACATAATACTTAATGTTTCGCGATTACAATACTTCCTCGCCAGTAGCCGTGGAAAGTGAAAAGAGAAGTGCCAGGAATAGGCAAAAAAACACTATGTATAGACGTCTATAATACGAATTTATTATTTCTAGTCAAAAAATCTACTTTAAGTTTAATCGATGTTGTATTGACGTTATTGACTACAAAAAATTACCTTTTTTTACTGTTAAATTAAAACTGGATAACAACTACTAGTTTTAGTACATGTATTGGTAGTGTTGATTATTACAGCAGTACTATTTTTTTATTTGTAAAATGAGAGAATTACATCCGGGTACCCATGCTTTGGAACGCGACTACAAGAGCTTTTGAAAACAAAAATTTTATTTTATATTTTGTTTTTTCACGTTTGCTTATGGTAACGTGAATATGAGTGTGAAGAGTCCACTTGGAAAATGGATTTCCGGAGTGTTTTAAAAATAGTAGTTTTTTGGCATAATATGAAAATTTGATAACTACATCAAAATACGTGTTTAAATTATTGGGGAAATATCCCGTCTCACATATGAAACTGACACTAGAACTCTAAAGATTCGCAATATTGTTTCGTCATTTTTAATGAATAAAGCTGAACAAACTATGAGTATTTGAATGTAATTGTATACGTTTTGGACAATTTAGGTAAACCCGTATACAAAAAATTCCACTGTCCTTCGGTCAAGGAACCGTTAATTGAACATTCCTTATCTCTGAACATATAAAGCCAAGAGATATATCTGAATATTTTGATATACAGGATGAATCGAGCTCAATCTTCAGAAATCGTAACAGCCAAGTAGTTGGCAAAATCAAGACAAAGTGACTAAGAAAACGGCCTTTCGCAATTCAGAATCGATTTAGTTTTTCATGACCTTATTTGAAGTTGTATCGTCTCTTATAACCCACCATTAACTTTATTTATTTTAAATTTTATTCTATTCTGGACTTTAACAGAGGCAATTCACAGTTCTTAATTTCCAATTCAACATATGAAATATTATTCATGTCCTTAAACTCCAATTATTTCAAATTTGCTAAGTTGTCCTGACTTCAACAAGTGACTAAAGTGTGAAAGTATGATATACTCCTCTACCTAATTGATTTATTTATTTTTGCCTTGGTGTTCAAGAATATTCATCTTCATATAGTTAAAAAGGAAATCATCAAGGTGTACAACATCTTTACAGAGTGCATTTCTCGTAATTCAGCAAGACAAAATGTAGGTCGAATCACACGTCAGGTGAATGCGTCCTACTTTTGCCTTGGTTGAAAAATGTTATAACGATCAAATAATATTATTCACTTACAGCACGACCAAAACGATACTAAAAACGCAATTTTGTTTATAATTTACACTCGCTTCATAAACAGATTTTAGAAGCCGCCAAGTCGATTTACTTAGCATTTACCATGAATCCAAACTCTTTTTTAGATTATCTTCAATAAAAAATAAATCCACATTCTAAAAATGTATTTGACTATACCCAAAGGAACCGATAATTCAAAAATTTATATTCCTTGTATAAAATATCGCTTATTCACTACTAACCTGAGACAAAGCCATTATTTACCGCTTTCATACTCGTATAAGTAGAAGTTACATCGCTCACCTAGGTAGATAATGATAATGAAAAAATACCTAGGTAAATAATGCATAATGATTTGATTCATGAACCGATCTTCTTCAACTTGTTGGGCACAGAATTGCCACTGATATTAAAAACTTGTCCCACTTTTGAATATTACTAATTGTTTATTTACTACAAGTGACAATGTCTATTTTATAAATGAAATTATTGTTGTTGATTTTTCTTATTTATTCCATTATTTTGGCATATTGAACCGTCCATGCTACTAAATGGTGTATTTGAAAATTACCGGAGAACGAATGATGTGTGGACGTAAATCTATCATTGTCGGACTCTATCATGTAGCGGGAACGTCCCTATCCTGCGCACCGTTCTGTGATGAATACATTGCGTCGGCTTCATTCTGACAGTGTTGTCAGACGTAGAGGAGATTCTCAGATATAGCATATATTTCAAGGTTTAATCAAACTAAATGTAGTAATATACAATAGTGGAGGCCATTGCCAATAATGTACTATTATAAATGTATATTAAGAATATCCACATATCCAAAAGATAAGATTTATACTTGATATATCACACACATTTTGAGAGGCAGAAACCGTTTGGAAGAATGACCAAGAACTTAAAAGAATATAATAACAGCATGAGGGTTGGAGGTTACCTGGTCTAAATAAGAATTGTTCTAGAAATGAGATTATTAATTTGAGGGGAGGATATTCTTGGATCTGAAGCAGATCCCTCGATAACACCCTCCACGTTGATGAGAAAAAAGATGAACACCTATCTACGACAGCTGATATTTAATACTAAAAATAATTTTCTCGACACATACTGGGTATTCATTTGAAAACTTCTCACCATGGATTTATCGAAAATCCCTGATTAAAAGAAGAAACCCGGAGACTCGTCAGACGATTTGTCAAGGGGATACCTTTTCAACCAAAAACTACTTCATCTCCTTTCACCCTCTGCCCCCAGGGCCATCCCCTTAAACATTTTAAATGACAAGGGGTTATCGAGTAATAACTTGTTTGAAAAGTCTTTTAAAGTCCTTTATTTTGACGTTCGATTTTTTAAAATGGTTCAAATCGTTTTCAAGAAAATTGGAAGATACTTTATTGATCATTTGCTCAGATAGAAAACAAAAACACACGAAAATATACTTTTTAATGATATAGGCGATGTTAAAATGTCTGACGGACATTTTCAAAAACATGCTGTGTGATATCATGGCAGCTTTCGGTGATGCGTTGACGAAGTTCATCCAAACTTTCAGGTTGGGGAGTAAACACAATAGATTTCAAATGGCCCCATAGAAAAAAGTCTAATGGCGTCCAATCAGGAGATCTAGCAGGCCATTCTTTAAGCCCTCTTCGCCCTATCAATTTATCTGGAAACTCGTCGACTAGCCATTGCCGAACCGGAAGAGCATAGTGAGGAGGAGCGCGGTACAATAACAGTTGAAAATATAAATCGAAACTCTACAGTGGCTATTTAGATTTAGAGTAACGACACTAATTATGTAACATGTAACTGTGTGTGTGAATTTCGCGATATACAAAGTATCTCCGAAATTCCTGATCTGATCGAAGATCTGAAGCAAGGTTAAAATGAATAGAGTAAAAAACATGAGAAATGCAGAGAGGAGACCATTCTTGAACCACAAAACTAAAAACATTGTGTAATGGAATGAGAATATATTCATGTACAAAATATCCATAATGATCTGACAGATACAAATTCAGCAGGTTGTATAACCAACTAATTTGAGTAGTAGAATAAGATGCCAAGTACTATAACGTTTAGACGTTGATAAACGGTTCAGTGATCCCTTTTTAACTACTAAAGACCAAAATCTTGAAAATGGGATTAGATGCAAATCATAGTGATTAATGGGTAAAAATGTACAAAATTGTGCCTAGCAATATGGTATATCCATTCACACCACTACTGAAGATCTGTAATTTTCGGTAAATATGCCACAAGTTGAGTTCATCTTGTATAGATGAGTACAAGCAGACGAATTTTGGACCAATGTCTAGACCCACGCGCAAATTATCATTATTATCTTCTCTTAAAAGAGGAGGTTTGCTCTACTTACCAACTCCGCTACATGGTTTGACCTGTGTGGCAGCCCCAAGAGCAACCAAGGCAGCGAAGGCAAAGACGGCCAATAGCACCCTCATCATTTTCAAGCGGCGTCAAGTCGGCAAGATGTTAACCCTCCAGCACTACTTTGCAGCGGGTGTTATGGAGCTTTCTCTTGGTTCGTTGGTCAGGTACCGCTTAAGTATGCATTCACGTTACCTTCGACGTGCGTTTCTGGTCAAGCACTACGTCTCGCGGCTTCCTGGTACCGAGCTCGTTTGTATTCTGCGATGGTACCACGGTGGGTTCCGACGCAGGAAGGGGATCTGCAGGTGGGATGCGCGCTTTAACACCGGTGAAATTTCGTGAAGGAAAATCGGTGGTGCGGTGTATACAGGGTGGTTCTTGGAAGAGGAATCCTGGGTATCCCTAAGATCACCAGGAGAGAAGCCCTATTTATACCGCTGAAATTTTGTGAGGGAAAATCAATATACAGCATAGGAACAATAAAACACCAGATACAAGGACGGCATTAGCTGACGGAATTTCATTAATAAGAACTGGTACTTGCAAGGTGGTTGAGGAGTACATGAGAGTACTAGAAGGTATACTGCGATAGCACCCTGGGTTCCGCAGAGGTACAATTATAGAAACAATATGTGAAAAGCGGGCTGTACGCCTGCTATAGTATCATAGGTTACACAGGGAGGAAATTATGGAACCAACAGCTGGAAGGCTGGTTTTTCGCATATGAAATTTGGTGAAGAAATTACAGTTCAGAAGTATATGGTAGACAGTATACTTTACATACTCTGGGTTCCGCAGAGAGGGAATCATGAAACCAATAGACGGGTAGCCGGCCTGACGCCTCTGTACTTTTATGAAGAGAAGCCGGCACATAATATGATAGTTTAGAGGTGTAACATTACAGGTTCCAGTAGAGTTCAGCAGGAAGGGAATTACGGAACCAATAAGTGGTGGACCTGCTTTACCCCTGTCAAGTTTGAGATACTGGTCGGTCCAGAAATATATGGTTTAAGCATATTTATTTGGTGATACTCTGGGTTTTGCATAGAGTAAGAGAACCATGGAACCAATAGGTGGGAAGCCGGATTTAGGCTAGTGGACTTCATGAAGGGAAACTACTATACTAAATGGAGAAGTATACAGGGTGGGAAACTACTATACTAAATGGAGAAGTATACAGGGTAGCGCATCGAAAACGAAACAGACGCAAATGGAAAGGGGGGTCGAGTGATACCTTATTTTAGAGGTATTTCAATTCCCTTTATAATGATGTAAAATACATGAGCTATAGTTCAGTAGTTTTGAAGATTTATTGATTTAAAGCTTAAAGTACACTTTAATAGGTACATCAGATTAGCTTGTACTACTTTCAGAAGAAATTTGACAAAAAGAATTTACTTAATAAGTAAATGCTTTTCTTCACTATGCCCATGGTTTGTTTATCATTTTGTTGTTGAAAATAGCTATAGGAGCGTTTTTTGTGGCAAAAAAGTTATTTCTTGAAGAAAGATAAGGATGCGATTGATTTGACCAAACTTTGTTGCTAAAATATCTTGTAACGCTTTATTACATAAATTAACCATGGTATATTCCACAGCAGAAAGAGTTGAGATTATCGAAATATTTTTCGGAAATAATCAGTGCGCTAATAGAACAGCAGAAATATTTAATGAGCGACATGTGCATCGAAAATATGTTCTAGAACTTGTAGCTAAATTTCGGGAAACTGGGTCAGTCGCCAATAAAAAACGCAACATTGAAAATCCCATAAGGAACGAAGCAATAGAAGTGGGGGTTTTAGGGCTAGTTTATGTAGATCCTACGTTAAGTACCCGCAAATTGGAGACTGTGTGTGGTGTTAGTCGACGTACTCTCCAACGGATTCTAAAGGCCCATAGTTTTCATCCGTATAAAACTCACATTCACAAGAACTTAATGAAGACGATTTTGATCGGCGATTACAATTTTGTGAAGATATGAGTGAGCGAATTATAAACGATGAACATTTTCTATTCAACACTTGCTTTTCCGACGAATGTTCCCTACTGAACTGAAGTACATTAATTTTATATCATTATAAAGGGAATTGAAAGACCTTTTAAATAAGGTATCACTCGACCCCCCTTTCTATTTAAGATTTTGGGGGTGGTGTCACCCCCGCTTAGGGGGCTGCACGTGCTAACGTGATTTTTTGCCAAACTTGTGCCCCCCTCGAAAACAAAATCGACGGGTCTGAGCGTTTTCCAAAAAAAAACTGAGCTGCCAGTTAATGCGTCTGTTTTGTTTTCGATGCGCCACCGATGTATACGTACTTTGAGTATACCCTTAGGAAAAACCATTGTTATACATGGGAAATCATTTCTTGGCAACAGCGCATCGGCTCGTCTACTTTCATCGCTATTCGTACATATTTCCTACCGTTAACCGCAGACCTGTATCACGAATGAGAATAATAGGCAGATACGCTGTGTTGCCAATTTGAGTAGAGCTTCCCGAATTGTGGGGAATTTAGAGTTAACTGTTGATTCATTCAAGCTTTTAATCAGCATGGCCTAGACGTTAGAACTTCATAAAGATAACATTGAAGCTGAATGCTGCTGGAGTATAGTGTTTCGAATATTCAAAGCGGAGCGGGACACTATACTCGTTCAATGGGTCATCAAGCCACAGTCTTTTCAACAAAGAAATTATTTTACGAAAATGCGTTATATTTTTACGATTTTGTCGTCACCGAATCTCTGTTTCTCAAAATGTACGTCTATTGTAGAATTTTCAGCAAACTAAGCAAGAAACGTGATCTAGTATTTACTCAACATTACGGATTTCTCGAAATACATTAAAAAATGTGACCTAGATACCTCACTTGCCCCAAGCTCTTTAAATATAACACCTTAAACCAGGGTTACCAGGTGCTCAGACACGTTGATTGTCACGTTATTGTCACGTTGTACTGCGCAAGTCAGCAAACAATCTGGCGTAATAAACGTTAGGAATCATCAGGTATTGCCAGATTCCCGAATACCGGGCACCATAGTAACCGTTATAGTTGTCCTTCAAAGTTGTCAAATCGCCCCTATGGCGCAAATTCGCCACACCAGGCAACTGTGCTATAAACAAACCCTGTTTATCACTACTATTTGATAGTCATATGGTAGTTGTAGCCCTATCTAGCGGTCCATGATTTCTCTCAATACTGTTGTATCTCTACTGGCAACAAGAATAGGGATTACAAAATCATTTATACAACAATATACAAACATGAAAAATATGATTTGAACCATGAAACATTAATACAATTTCAAGGATTTGAACTTTTTTCATTTTTGGAATACTCTTATGTGGAATCCGCAGCTATTTTTCCCGAAATTTGGGTAGACTTAGATTTCTTAGAAATATGACATACTGGTATCGGCAACTCTGCGAATGGGAGAAACAAATCGCATTTGTTAAGCGCATCCGTCTAAGCGGTAGGCGCCAGCGCCCGTTCTGCCATCTCTCTCTTTTATCACTCTTCTACTTTACCCCGTTGTCCGTCACACTCCGACGCTGCCACATAGGATCCTACAATCGAGTGTCTTTCACGCACCTACATACTTTTGTATATTTCCATCTCTCTTCCTCGTCATAATGTATAATAATGTTTTTTCTCAAGGTGTATATATGATAGTGCCTTGGGTTCAGCCGAGATGGAACCATTGACCCACAGGCGAATTTGATGATAGAGCTTCGCAAAGAGGAAACCAGAGAACTGTTGCCATCTTTATGTCTGTGAAGTTTCATAAAGGAAAATCGGTATAATGATCATCGGCCCAGAGATGAATAGCTTCAGCAGTGCTTTGAATAAGTATTTTGTGATAATACCCAGGTTCTGGAGGGAGAATACCATGGAACCAATATGTGGGAGGCAGAGAGCAGAGAGAAAACCACAGAATCGATAGGTGAAGCGCCAGGTTTATTTATGTGAAGTTCCATCGAAGAAAATTGATGGTGCAATGCTTGTATACAGGATGGATACCATATAAAGGGAGACATCAGATGGGGGGCCGGGAAGAAAATTGTTAGAACGCTGCTTCAATTGTTCAGAGTGATTTTGAGTTATTTGAGTACCACCAGGCGGAAGGTCATCTTCAAAATCATAATAAAAATCATGCTGGGCCGATTTATGCGTATCGACACACCTGATAGCACTAAAACATTCTTTATCTGTCCTATTATCTATCATGTCTTTTATTGAAAAATACAATTAACTAAACATTATCAGCTTGTTATACCATAAACTAGTTTTACTTGGACTTACGACGACCGATTACTGTAATAGACAACAATAGTAAGTTGGTCACCAGAAATGAAATGCATATAACGAATAAACACTTTTTCTGTTTTTTGAAGCTTGTATTTACCTTGAGCTACTCATAGTATGTGGGAAAAGTCTTAAAACTGAATTTTGAACGAGTTAAACTTAACCAAATGGGCTGAAATTTTATAGACACGTTTATGTCGCGTACAATGAATTGAATGCTGCCATTTTGAATCTAATATGGCGGGTGCTACAAAATGGCGCCTTATCTTTCTATTAATTGGATATCAAATGAAATGATGAGAGAAATAGGTACAATAAGTAAAGCGACATCACTCTAAATCCAACGTGGTTGTCTAATATAGCAATGTGATATTACTATGTCATGGAATTAACCTAATTATGGAGTCGGGCCATCAGAACTTTGCAATAAATCGGCACAAACCCATCGAATTGGGACTCGTTTGATTTTTCTTGACAAATAGTTGATTATTATAGAAAATAAATACTCGTCTATAATAACCATACCAAATTTCAGCATTTTAATATTAGATAGTTCGCAAAAATGTAGGCACGCTTCATGTGTCTATTGAACAAAGATACTTGATCTCTATTCGTCCTTGTCCGTCAGAGCGGTCCGTGGGACCTTCGCTCTTTGCGGTCAGTAAGTTTGTCAGGTCTGGCATCCCCGCCAGAAAGTCGTTCCATCGCTCAATGCGGAATTCATGGAGAGCATTTCTTACTTCATGAACAAGATTCGTCGCTCTGCAAATGTCATCAGGATGACAAGACCTTTTCGCTTGCTTAATTGCAGCCCTTTTGTCAGACATTTTTTGACGAATGTCTGCAGAGAGAAAGATACTTGATGTAAGTACGTCTCCTGTATCCACGTATTATATGATTCATATCGATAGAAACCTTATTAAATAAATGAAATGAGAAGTTTTATGATATCAGTTATACAGGATGTACAAGATAAGGATCCTATGCATGGGGATCTCAAAACCTGTGTGAGACACAGTCTAGTTTAAATTAGGAAAAAGCTGCGTTGTTTGGGGCGTATTTACAAGCCGTTGAGAAACTTGTAAAAATTTCATGGCTTATAAGGGAAAAATGGTGTAACATGCTTCTATATGAAAGCTTGAGATGAAGAAGCTTCAGTGTCCTTGAGAGATTACGAAGTATCAAACGGCATACATATGTCTAATCGAAGAAAGTATTTTTGCATTTTCAATTCGTTTTATTAACAGCTAAAGATAGCTTATTTTTAATATTTCATTGTTTTCTTTCATTTATGTAACTTTAAAACTGCATATGGAAATAATAGTACATTCACGAAGAATTTAAAAAAAAACAACTTGTCTACCGAGTTTGCAAAAATATATTTTGGGTGTCTAGTCGAGGAATGTCAATGTCGCCAACTGTTGTTTACATAGCCAACTTTTATACAGACATTATACAGAGATAATAAAATGTTGAATCATTATGGACAACATATCCTAATGCACATAGATACTCCGGAACATGTCTTGAAGACGTTTCCAGAATAAAAATGAGACTATTTTGCAATTCTAAATGTTGATATTGACCTTGTTCGGCTTCAATGATGAGCGGAAATCACAGTATCCGAAACAGTACTGGAAATTAAATAATTTGAGAGAACGATGTTTTTATGTTAATTTATTAATGCATTAATTCAATGCATATTCTGATTATTTTATATTCAATGATGCATCAAGCAGATCTTGAAAAATATACTATTGTCGTCTTTTTGCATTCTATCCATAGTTTCCTGTCAACTAGAACCGTGGGACCTTTGGAATCTTTTATGTCTGAAGATTTCTGTCAGGTCTGGTTGTCCAGATACCAGTCTGGGAGAAAGTAAAAAAAGATTTTAGGGAAAGAAGGGATGCTTGACCATCGTTAACTATGTTTCAAATTTTTTTTTATCTAGTAAATATATTTTGGAGTTTGGGTAATTGAAAATTTTTTAAACCATATTAATAATGCACAATTTTGCCCCCAGTGTAAACACTGCTATTCCGCTTGACTATACAGGACTTTCCTTAATGATATGCAAATATTTATGGGTGTGAATCTACATAAAAAATTAATGTTAGTTTGCTTTATAAACTATGGTCCAAAAATGTTTCCTTACAAAAACTCGGGGTGTTGAAGTTTTAGGAAACAAATGGAAATTAATTAATATTTTCAGAACCGCTTCAGATATTTTACTGATATTTAGTACCTAGTGGAAGTTAACAAAGTTTCATATTTTTCAAGGCAAAAATAATGTTTAGCTTCAACAGTTGCGTGCTTACGGGTATTGACTTCGATATTTTTGAAGAAAAAATGGTACTCTAATGGTTTTTTGCCAAATAAAAATCATTTTTGAATTCCCCGTTTAATTTAAAATAAATGACCTCTCTTGAATTGTTTTCCTTCGATGCGCCATTTTTGAGTAAAAAAATAAAAACCGTTCTATTGTCCGAGAAAATTAATGTGATAATTGAACAATGCAATTTAGCAATAAATATCTAGTTGCTCTAGAATATGTCACTGGCTTTTGACATCTGACAAGTCTCTGTTATTCAAATCTGTTCGCTGTGACATCTTTTTCATTATTTAGTTTTTACCATCTTGTTAATAATGGTGAATTATTCAAATGCAGAAATGGCGGAAATGCCTTACGTATATGACCTTGCCGACGGTAATGGTGAGCAATCCAGACGAATTTATTACCAGAGATATTCCGATCGTGCTTTGCCAGATACTCGAACCTTTTCTAATATTCGTCGTCTTATTGAGACTGATTCTGTCCGAAAAGGAACATCTGAAGGTAAACCTCTAAATGTGAGAACACCTGAAATTGACGAAGCAGTGCTGCACGAAGTCACAGAACATCCTTAAACGAGTACGAGTAAGATCGCTAGACACTTAAATATTTGCCATCAAATTGTTTGGACAATTTTAGTGGATTTTTTGTTGTAACCTTACCACATTTTAAGAGTACAGGCATTACTTCCTATTGATTTTCCAAGGCGTGTGACCTTTTGTCAGTGGAATCTTTAAAAAATTACACAAAATCCGCAATTTGAATCAATGATTCTGTTCACGGACGTAGCTAATTTTTCTCGAAATGCCGTTCAGAATTCCCACGATAATCATTTGTGGACAGAAGAAAATTCCTATGCGGTAACTGAAACCCATTTCCAACACCAATTTTCGGTTAACGTATGGGCAGGAATTATTGGCAACCACTTTATTGGCCCATTCTTCTTGTCGGGACGACATGACGGACAGATTTACCTCAATTTTCTTCACCAACAGTTGCCTTTGCTGCTTGATGATGTTCCGCTAGTAATAAGAAACAATATGTGGTACATGCATGATGAACTTAAGACTGATCACCACTAAGCTACAGACATAGTTTTCAAAAATGCACCCAAATATGTATGTCGTTTGGATAATTTTTTAATAAAATTGGACATTTTGGCGTCTGACTCACATTCATAGAAACCAAATTAATATATTTAATGTTTTTTGTAGATAGTTTATTCTAAAATGTAACGAAACTACAACAGATATTATCACATAAACGCAAATAATGATTCTATACAAACACGATTCCCTAATTAATATCACAGTTGTTATAATATCGATATGTCGGCGCAATTTACAAAAGTTTCTTGTGGGCCACATCCTACTGCACTGGTACCGTTGCCGCAGTCTCCCCAATTATTACCTAAAAAAAATTCAGTGATAACTAAAACATTAAGGCCATCAAAATTAGCACCCCGCTTTTTTAAAGTTCCTTTTGACTTTACTCTTCTAGGTACGAATGTGATGCTTTAACCGCAAGTTAACTGCAGCTTGACTACCAACCAAAAATTATAAAACTCTAAAAAATTTTCTCCTAAAGTAGTAAACTTAAATAATAATAATAATAATAATCGTCTTTAGTTAAACTGTACAATTTCATACAAAGAAACAAGAGTTGCATATGGTGGCGAAGTTTAGCAACATGGCTACTCTTACACTTAACCACCCATGCGAAAAAAGCAAGTTGTTAAGTAGCAGATATCAAACAAAATATACATATATACATACATACATATACACACATACATATGTAAGTACATGTTGCACCAAGGTTTACTATGTACTTGTACACAAAGGAAGTGAAGAATCATTTAACAATACATCTATAGCAATCTAATTAAGACTATGGATCCAAGCAGATATGAGATTTGACAGCTTTCTTGAAGCAATTCAAGGACATATTTTGGAATTCAGAACTCAAGGCATTGTATAGCACTGTACGTGAAAGAACGCTGGAATAAAGTTGTGGAGTGAATAGGTGTAGTTATCAAATTTGGTAATCTAATATGTCTATGATGAGTATTACGCCTAAAGATTAGCTTTTCTCTTAAGTATATAGGTTTTGACATAAGTATCAGTTTATGACTGAAAACAAGGTAATGATATTTGACAATAATTTTTGTTATCATCCAGTTTAATTCAATAAGACTACCAGAAACATGGTCAAAGCGCCTTAAACCGCAGATGAACCTAGCACAATTGTTTTGCACAATTTGAATCCGATTTCTTGTAATAACATTGAGATACGGATAATATAAAATATCACAGTAGTTGAAAATCGACATAACCAAAGATGAGCACAGTTTTTTCCTTATTTGATAATTGAAAATTGCTTTATTGGCATATAGTGATCTCAGTCTCAAGTAGGTTTTCTTCAAAAGATTTTCAACATGACTGGAGAATCTAAGTTTGAAATCGATTACCACGCCAAGAATTTTAACCTCGTCAACCGGGTACAGTCTTTGAGATCCAATTTTGATAGTTGATTGACTTTTAATTTCCTCAACCAGAGGACCATGTATCGGATACCTATAAAGCTGTAGTCAAACCGCAATGTCTCTCCCTGCTAACATTTGTCGGAAAATTTCTGAAAAGAGGGCTGCGATTAAGCAAACAAAAATGTATTGTCTTCCTGATGACATTCGTAGAGCGACGAATCTCGTCCATGAAGTGAGAAATGCACTCCATGAATTCCACAATGAGCAGTGCTTGAATCAAGTATTCCTCTCTGGAAAGTGGCAAAATCGCTCAGAAACGGAAGGCAAGAACAACTACCACATATTCATGGTCCTGGAGGCATAGTTTTCAGGACTGAGGATAAAGTGGAGTTTTTTGCTGACGTCATGGAAAGGCAGTTCTCTCCCAATTATGATCTGGACAATGACCTTGACGAGGAACGACAAATTGTAAGATCTGTCAGGAGATACTTCAGAGCAAATGGCGATACCAACATCGGTGCTAAGATCGGGGACTCCTTTTCAGAAGATTCTTCTACTGAAGACTCTTCAGATGAATCTCAGCATAGGACATCAACGAAATTCTCTGAGATTCCGTTTTGCACACCAGCAGAGCTCCAAGGCCACATCAAGGACCTAAAGGTGCGTAAAGCACCTGGAGAGGATCAAATCTCCAACAAAGCACTCAAGTTGCTTTCGCTCAACGCTTTGACTTATCTGGTGGCAATAATCAATGCAGTGCTCAGAACTCATTACTTTCCTAAGGTGTGGAAGATCGCTGAAGTCATCATGATCCCAAAGTAGGCAGGTTCGATATTACCGTCCCATTAGCCTGCTGTCAGCTCCTTCTAAGTTCGCTGAAAAGTTGATTTATGAGAATTTCTCGTCAGATCACCATGTGATTCCTGACGTGCAATTCGGCTTTCGGTCTGAGCATAGTACGGAGCTACAGGCAGTTAGACTGGTAGAGCATGTAACCAGGGGGTTCACCCTGAACAAAAGTACTGGTATTTGGTTTTTAGATGTATCAAAGGCATTTGATAAGGTGTGGCACATGGGCCTCTTATATAAGCTCATCCAAAAGGGTTTTCCATTTTGGCTAATAAAACTGTCGAAATCTTTTCTGGAAGGAAGGAAGTTTCGGATCAAAATTAACAATGTGTTGTCGACAACACAGCCCATAAGAGCCGGTGTTCCTCAGGGTTCGGTCTTAGGGCCAATCCTTTATTCACTTTATATACATGACATCACTTGCCCCAGCAACTGTGAAGTCTATCTCTATGCTGATGACACTGCGCTGCTAGCCCAGTCTTGTTCTGGTAACCTGGTTCACAACAGGCTGCAGTGCGGTGGAGGAAGTATTGGAGTGGGCGGATCGGTTGTTGATCAAAATTAATACTGGCAGGCAATCTATTGTACTAAAAAACTTTCTGGTCCCCCTCAGAAATATCAGTATCGTATACCATGGAAGCAATCTGTCTGGTACCTTGGAGTCATCATTGACAAGGGGTTGACCATCTTGTTGAGGTTATTTTTCAACTAAACTGAACCTTAACTTGGTTGTTTTTGTTGCACCAGATACGCTTAGATCTGGAGAGGAACTTGAATAGACAGTAGAGCTAAGTCGAAAGAATTTCTCTGCTTGGTGGAGTTTCATGCATAAAATGTCAACTTTCCGGTGTGAAATTCTTATGGTTTGACCTACAGACCACTATCAGTCAAGTTCTTAGTAAATTGAAAACTGTGGATATGAAAAGTTTTTCCAAGTTCATTATTAAATTCTCAAATCCTCTGTATTCTGTATAGAAGGAAAAGCGTTTAGCCAAGATCACACAACTTAGGCTTCTTTAAGCCACTGGTAGCCTAAAGGTAGCTCAAAGCTGTAACATCCCCAAACTGTTGAAAAAGGTGGTGACGCAACCCAGCGGAGTTTCCCTTACACTAGCCATACAAGGCTAGCGTTCACTCTGAATGGATCCACTGATTGTTAGGATATCTGGGCAGTCGCAAGCCAAGCTTTTGACTGTCTCATCTTCATGTTCACCAACTCAGCATATGGCTGTGTCACCCAATCTCATGTTGCAGAGATGTTTCTTGAGGTGACAGTGTTCTGTCGAAATACCTATGGCAAAACAAAATTGTTGTCTGAACATGGATAATTAGTGTTTTGCTACACTACTGCATTAGGATATTGTGAGGACTTCTCTAGTGAATCAGAAGCCCGACGTATCATCTCACATGTTTTTGAAGACTTCGTGGATGTGATCTTTCAACATAGTTATCACGGCTCCGATAGGTAAAATGCAGACGAGCTTTGGGGCCAGAATTCTAGTATTAGCAGTCATTAGATTGTGCAAGACCCTTCACTCAGGCAACAGTTATGTTGTTACTGATAGAGACACTCGCAGTCTAATACTGTTTACGTTTTGCTACAATAAAGGGTCAGTATTGCCTGTCTGCCAGCCATCCAGATCCTGATATTTCTGCCTGCAAAGTTTCTGCAGGCATTCTGAAAGGCTCGCGTGATAATAATATTCTGTAATTCTATAGCTGCTCATCAGAAACAACAACCTACTTTCGCTGTGATGCGTAATGCATTTCACCAATTGATTTGAATGCCTGTTAGGTTTGCGAGTACTTCATAATGTTTTTAAACTGATGAGAACCGTACAAAGTACCAGATGATAGATATTGTGTTTAGTATACTGATGATACAAGTAAGAAATTATTTATCAAATTAAAATAGAAATACGTGTGATTATATTACTGGGTTTGCCTTTTTATTTGTATAACTTTAGTATGAAATAAAACAGACAACAAATACAACTAACTTATTGGTGGTTAGAGACGTAAATACCCTAAAATGTTACTGCATCGTACAACAGATGTAAGCTAAGTGTTCACCAAGTCGGAGTGGTACAACGAAAACTCAATTTACTGTTTATCTAAATATTCGGATAACCTTGCTAAGTGGTAGATTTGAAAAATGCGGTGCAACCGGACATCTCAGTTGCTAAGGTGCCGTGCTTTACAAGAACAGGAAAACGCTTAAAAATCTTATTTGTTGTATTCCAAAAGGCGATTAGGTGAAAAGGCAGCTTTAACCCTCCACTACAAAGTTTCGGTAGATCCAGCTTCTACGTCAACACCGGTGATCCATAGTCACACACTAACTGCAACGACCCCTGTCAATGGTCTCAAGGAAGCCCCAGAACACGGCTCAGATCGGACCCCATTCCATAAAAATGCTAGACTAGTAAATAGCAAGTTGCAAGTACAAGCACTTGTAAATAAGGTCAAATAATACTTTTTTCGACATATCACCCGCGTACTATTAAAAAACGTCCCCCTGAAATTACAAGTGCAGCACAGTCAAAATGACATTTCGTAAATATGGTAATTGAAATGTTTTAATTGGTGGATTTATTGACAAAATAACAGCACTTGCATATGTATAGAAAAATCTTAGAAAAAAGGACGTGACAATGTTTCAGAGATGCTTTTTATCCTAACTTAGAACACCTTCCTCTCCGTCCAATAATTGAATATGATACTTTTGAAGACGATATTGAGACGAGTTTCTTGAAAGTTGAGCGATTTTGTTTGTTTGTTTAAGATTTATTTAGCATGATTGCTACAATTACATTATTTTAAACAACTACAACAATTACATAACATACAGATATTCAGAAAAAAAAACAAAATTTGCATCTCTAAGAATTTTCATTGTCCATGAAATATTCCTTTAATTTTCTTTTAAATATCTTTAAATTTATATCATTATTTAGTTTATTAAATTCAAGTAATCGTTTCTGAAATATTGATTTGCTAGTTATATTACTATTGCAATTTTGTAAATGAAAATCTATTTCCTCTTGTATAATAATTGTGGTAATGATTATTCGATTATATGTAGTGTTCTAAATGTTCTGGCAAAAGATTATTTTTTATTTGAAATATGAAAGTAAGAACCAAATATGAAATTGAATGAAATTTTTTATATTCAACCACTGCAATTCTTGTAACATAGATTTTATTTTGGTGTACTTATTATTATTCAATATTATTCTCATATCTTCATTTTGCAACACTTGTAATTGTGAGAATACAGCTTCATTGGCAGTGAACAAGATAGTTGAACAATATAGTAAATGCGGTATAATAATTGTATTATAAACTATTTTCTTGGATTAAGTACCAAGACTATGAGAAGTCCTATAAAAGTAATTTGTATTTTTGGCAAATTTTTAAAATAATGTATTCATAGTGATCATCAAACTTTGGTTTACTATCAATATACAGGGTGTTTCAGTTTATTGTTGCATAACTTTAAGATTCGATAGAACTTTCAAAATTAATGCATAAAGTCTATATACACATGGATCGAAAAATGCGTGGCTTTCGAAATACAGGGGAAATTTACTTTCTAAAATAGTTTTTTTTAAATATTTCGAACAATATTTGATGTATAACAGTGAAAATTGGTATACAAGGGTTTTTGGTACGACAAAACGAACCATGGGCATAGTTTTACTGTAGCCGCTAGAGGGCGCTCTCTACTGTACCTGTAGTATATTAAAATGACCGAAATTTTTTTCTTAGTGCAATTTTTTGCTTTTTGAATAAAAAAAATTATTTTTCGCACTTTTCAACATAAAAAAGCTCTCTTGTGAATTTTCGTTATAGTTAGCCGTTTTTGAGATATTTCGATTTTTAACGTTCGATGCATTTTTAATTATTTATGATAAAATAACGTTAAAAAGTCAGTATCTCGATAATTTTTAGAAGTAGGCTGTGCCTGCAAATATTTTTGAAATTGAAAGCAGAATAAGGTTGGCAGTTGGCAGTTAGTTTTGTTGTCTGTTGAAACCTGAAACGTTTTTTGCAATTGTGAATGCACGAAATTCAGTTTCTTTTACCTGTTTTTTTTGTAAGTTTTATAAAAATGCCATTTTTATTATCCAATCAAGAGTTAGCGGATATTCATTTTGTGTATGGCTTTGTAAATGGAAACGCAGCAGAAGCAGCCAGAGAATACGCACGAAGATTTCCAAACAGACGACATCCAACTCGCTCAGTATTTGTAAGAGTGCATCGCTAAATAATTGAAAATGGTTTTGGAAATCTCCAATGGGATCAAAACATAAATGTTCGTCAGCGCAGATTTACCCCTATAATTCTGCGTGAGTTTGATAGAGATCCGAAAGAATATAGAAATGACCATAGACGTCCTTACCATTTTCAACCTGTGCAAGGACTACAGCCAGGGGACGGAGAACGAAGAATTACATTTTGTCAGTGGATTCTTGATAGAACTGAAAATAATAGGGAGTTTTTAGGTAACGTTTTATGGACCGATGAGTCATGCTTCACTAGACGTGGAGTGGTAAATTTTCATAATCAAGATATTTGGTCGCATGAAAATTCGCATGCAGTTCGGGAAAGAAATTTTCAGCATGAATTTAGTGTAAACGTGTGGATTGGTATCTACCGTAATCGACTATTTGGACCCTACCTTTTAAATGCTGCGACCTTCCTGGAATTTTTAAAGGCTGAACATGCAAATATGTGGGATGATGTTATGTTAGATTTAAGAAGATTGGCCTGGTTCACAAGAGAGCTTTTTTATGCAGAAAAGTGCGGAGAATCAGTTATTTATTCAAAAAGCAAAAAATTGCACTAAGAAAAAATTTTCGGTCATTTTAATACACTACAGGTACAGTAGAGAGCGCCCTCTAGCGGCTACAGTAAAACTATGCCCATGGTTCGTTTTGCCGTACCAAAAAACCCTGGTATACCAATTTTCACTGTTATACATCAAATATTGTTCGAAATATTTAAAAAAAAACTATTTTAAAAAGTAAATTCAAACACCCTGTATTTCGGAAGTCACGCATTTTTCGACCCATGTTTATATAGACTTTATGCATTAATTTTAAAAGTCCTATCGAATCTCTCTGTAGAATTTTGAATACAGAACCTTGAAATCCGTAGTGATGCAATTTCGGAGACAAAGAGCACCTACAGTCCGAACAATGTGAGAAGAAAAGCCATACAATACTTTATGTTGTTATGTATATAACAGTATTATTTTTTAACGAATTAATGGTATTTTATTGAACAAATTGTATCATTATTGAGTCGGATAAAAAGTATTGAAAACTGCTTAGTTATGCGAAGTTTGTCATATTTGATGATGTTGATCTTGATCTATTACCATTCGTTGAATTCGAATCCTATACTGAAATTAATTCTACCAAAAAGTCAGCATCAGTATTTTTACTATTATCTGACCCTTTTTGTATCAAGCAGCTTGTCCTATTATTTTCTACCAAACTAGAATTATTTGTAGCCAATTTATTTGAAATAACACGAATAATGCTACTAGTTGTTCTTTTTGGAACATCAACAACCCATTGCAAATATGGTCACTTGTAAAATCTGGAATGGTACTACAAGCATATCATATTTTAAACTTACATGGAACACAATATCTCGTATTAGTACAAGTTACAAGTAAACTCACTTGTAATTATTACAGCATGATTTTTAAGGAATAGGGTTCCAGAGCTGATTTGTGTTTTCACGAAAAAAAATATTTCCTAAATTGCAGAGAGTATCGCGCACCGTACTCAACAGACTTCTTTCTTTGGAGCTGGGGTGTAAGACCGTTTGTAACAACATTTTGATAACTGATTATAATAGCTCTTGTTGTGTACAAAAATCTGCAATCGAAGTTGCACATACCTCTTTCATCTTCTGGCCTCCCAAAATACTGAACTGCAACGTTGTATTAGCGCGGATACTGTAAGGTCGGACATTACCTGCACTAGCAATAAATTATAGATAAAACGAACCGCATTCTATAGAGGCGCGTGGCTTGATTGAGTTGTCTCCAGTGGCGGTGGGCTATTGCTGTTGATGAGGTGCAGGTTTAATTAAATTCTCAATATGGTGTGATTTTCAAAGCAGATTACATCTTTATTTGTAATATATATCCAGACTTTTCAGAAGCAAAATATTTCCTTCAAATTTCAATATTCAGGCAGAAGTAGGTTGTTTGATTAATTCTGATATGGTAGGTTGGATCTTAGGTATTGAATAGACAAGCCGTAAGAGCTAGGCTACCTAACGTTTGGACACTTCTAAAATGTAAATATTAAAAACATTTACTTTACGAAGTTAGCGCTGGCTATTTATCCTTCTTGCAACTAATTTCATTAGCTCTGAAAAGTATTTCACCAGTATTCATTTTAACCACTTTCCGTGTCTATACAAAACTGCATTCTGGTCTACATGCTTCTTACTTTGTAGACATATTATAGGTTCAGCCACTTTAAGCAGAAATCCAAGTATATAGAATTTTTGGTTTTCCAGAAATCCTCCCAATGCTAATACAAACAATTATGATCAGTTATGATTTATTAAATTTATTCATAGGTGACTTCCTAGTTTAGTGCGATGACGGAAATTTTGAGGGTGCCCATAAAAGTGATTTGTAGGAGCCACTGTTGTGGTTGATTTCGCGATAGTAATCGTTTCCTGTAGATTGAGATACTGCTCAACGAGTGGTGTTATCGGATTGTCACCACTGCCATATTTCGTTTTGCCATGAGGCTCCTCCAACTTTACCTATGGACCTAGTCTATATTTTAAGAATCTTACCTGCCGTGTAAGTCCATCTCAAGACACATCTTGGACAAAAAATGTTCGGCAAGCGAATTCTGTTAAATATTTGGAACTCGGTTGAACTCACTTCATACTGTAGCGAGCTATTTTCCAGAAGTAATGGAACAAAACACTCCTCTCCAGGCTCTGGGAGATTTGGATCGGGCATCTCGCAAAGGCTGAAATCAAAAATTAGATGTAAAGATTCATTTTCAGAGATCTCCACGAAAAGTATCAAAATATGTGATATTAAGACCTAAATTACTTTTATATTTGTTCAACGATCCCCATTCGGACTTCAGATTCGTAATCCGCAGGAAAAAATAGGCAAGAAAAATATATTTATCTAAGATTTTTTTCATCATTATTTACTTAGAACTCCATAAATAATGACGATCTCTCAGGTTAGTAGTGACAAAAATTATCTAATCAAATTAACGAGTTTTAATATAGTAAACAATAGATTGTATGAAAAGTGTGAAAACACAGGCAGTAACGATAAGCTTAACCATTCTCTAATAAATATAGACAAAGGCGTGAAAGGCCTAAGATAGAGATTCATTTGTATTCTGTACTGCATACCTGTAAGTGAAGTGTCCTCTATGATTAGCTGTTATTTGGATATGTACGTCTATAACAGATCCGTTCTTATATTCTGCCACTATTGTTCCATCGCCATAAAGTCCAGTGTTTTCATTATCTTGGGGATGGGGGGCATCGAAAGAATCTCCACAGATGCCACATCTTCCTCCATTTAAGTAATGTTGAACCTATACAGACATTAATGCTAAAGAACTGATCAAAATATGATGATTGGATACCTACAATTAGAATACAAGACTACAATGTCTGCTTCGCAGAGTAACTCTTTTAAATATACACCAGGGTTATTTGTTATTGAGTTACATCTAACAAAATACCAGAAACATGCAGCGATCTTTGGTTAGGTCAAGGAGAAACCAACTCGTAAGGCCTGCACGATATCTGGACTTAATTCTCCTATAGTATTGCTCATGAGGCCATCCAGAATCATTAGTATGCACAAATCCAGCGGAAGATTGGATAATTGCTGGATACAACTCAATAAGGAAGAACTGATATGTCTGAGTAAGACGGACTATGAGATGAAAAACCTTGCTACCTTGCTAGGTATTATATTTTAGATTATTGTAAACTTCAGATATTTGCAGATGATACATTAATATACATATCAGATGAAATATAGACACTGCTTTAAAAATGCTAAATTCTGACTTGGCAAAAATCGTAAATTGGTTAAATGTAAATAAACTAAACTTGAATACATATAAAATAAAATGTATGCTAATAGGGAAAAACCTAAATGAAAATACTATCACAGTTAGTCGCTTACTAACATTTTTTAAGAAGAAAAATATCATCTCGCTGAACCAACACGGATTCTCTACTGGAAAGTCAACAACAACAGCCATCAATTCGTTCTATGAACGATTGATTTCATTTGCGACTTGAGTAGAGCTTTTGACTGTGTAAACTATAACATTCTTTTGCAAAAAAAAATATGTTTCTCTACTTCATAAAGATGAACAAATGTTACATCGAGTCCAATCCAGTGAAGTCACTGTCGATATTGGGGTCCTCAAGGTTCTATTTTAGGGCCTATTTTAATCATTCTATATATCAATGAGATTGAGTCAGTGTGTGAGGATGCGCTGCCCACACTATATGCAGATGCATCAATATTAGTCTCGAGCACATTGGAAAATATCTTAAATGATAGATGCAACGAAGTAATTGCAAAGGTCAGTGATTGGTTTTCCAAACATCAGTTGTTTTTGAATACTGACAAGACCAATTTAATTAGGTTCCATAACCCACAAAAAAATATAAATATCCTTGACGTTAAACATAAGAATGTGCAATTGAACTTCACAGCTGATGTTAAGTTTCTGGGAATATTTCTGGACCATAAATTAAATTTCAGAATACATTCTGATCACCTGGTTTCGCAACTTAACTCTATCTCTTATTTGTTTAAAAATTTAAGCTTGGTTCTCTCTGAAAGTCAACTAGTCGGAATATACTACGGCCTTGTGGAATCCAGACTCAGATACGGTATTTGTCTTTGGGGCTGCTCTGCTACTGCACAACGTGTTTTTATTGCTCAAAAGCGAATTGTTAGATCAATGGCGCGGGTAAGTAACACACACAGTTGTAAAGACATTTTTAAAAAATATGAAATCCTAATAGTACCTGCCCTGGCTATTCGTTATATGTATTCCGGAATAAGACCAAGTTTACTCTCAACAAAGAAACACACACATTTGCCACAAGGCAGAGTGATAATATACACTCGAATTTTTCTAAATTTAAAGTAGGAAATAAATCGCCACATATACTTGGTCCTAAAATCTTTAACATCCTTCCAAAGGATATACAAGGAATAGCAAATCAAAATCACTTTAAGTATTGTTTGAAAGACTTTTTAATACATAAATGTTTGTATAATATCTGTGAGTTTATCAGTGTGTAAATGTTGTTTATTATTTTGTTTTAATATAGTTTTGTCATAACTCTGTATATAGAGGCTCTCTTGACGATTTTTATACAAACTTTGTTTGTCTCAAGAAAAATAAATTATTATTATTATTATTATAAATGGAGAAATAATTGAAAATGTTGAATCAATTAAATATTTAGATATATATATATATATATATATATATATATATTATATATATATATATATATATATTGATAGTAAACTAAAGTTTGAGAATCACTATGAATACATTATTTCAAAAATTGACAAAAAAACAAATTACTGTTATAGGGCTTCTCATGGTCTTGGCGCCTATTCCAAGAAAATAGTAATAAATACAATTATTCTACCGCATTTACAATATTGTTAAACTATCTTGTTCACTGCCAATGAAGCTGTACTCTCAAAATTACAAGCCTTGCAAAATAAAACTATTTGGATAATATTGAATAAAAATAAGTACACCAAAATAAAATCTATGTTACAAGAATTTCAGTGGTTGAATATAAAAAATTTCATATTTGGTTCTTATTTTTATATTTAAAATAAAAAATCATCTTTTGCCAGAACATTTAGAACACTACATAGAATTGAATAATCATTACCACAATTATTATACAAGAGGAAATATAGATTTTCATTTACAAAATTGCAATAGTAATATAACTAGCAAATCAATATTTCAGAAACGATTACTTGAATTCAATAAACTAAATGATGATATCAAGTCTACTTGTAATTTAAAGACATTTAAAAGAAAAATAAAGGAATACTTCATGGACAATGCAAATTTTGTTTTTTTTTCTGAATATCTTTATGTTATGTAATTGTTTGAAAGAATGTAATTGTAGCAATCATGCTAAATAAATCTTAAACAAACAAAAGAAGTTTCACACGTAATTTTTGCTAGTCAGAATGTCGTTTGTCTCAAATTTTCGAAACGAATCGATTTTGCAAAAATACGAGGGATGTCTTTTAAGCTTTGCATATAGAAATATAGTAGGCCGCGCGGATCGGACGTCAGTACTGAATCTTAACCTCACTCTTTAGTAAACACTACAGTGAATTTTTTAGTGTCACCAAGTCATTAGAAAAATGGAACTCAACCGAGAACATTTTCGCGCCAAGAATGCCTTGCTGAGTCACTGTCTGTTTTCGGCAACGAAGCGCCACATCAGACGACAATTTCCCGTTGGTATGGAGAAATCAAACGTGGACGGGTGAGTCTTAGCGACGATTCCAGGGAGGGTGCACCAAAAACGGCAGTCACCCAGGAAAACGTCGATGCTGTGCACAAACTCATCATTGAAGATAGACATGTGACATATCGCGAAATTGAGGCGTCCTTGAAGATCTCAAAGACCTCACTTCAAAAAAATTACATGGTAGAATTAGGAGTAAGAAAATTAGTTTCACGTTGGATACCCCACCTGTTGACTGAAGAGCAGAAAGCATCCAGGGTTAATTGGTGTCAGAAAACGCTTGACCGTTTCAATTCCGCAAACTCAAACAATGTGTACAGCATTGTTAGTGGTGATGAATCGTGGATTTACTGTTATGAACCAGAAAATAAACGACAGTCGGCTATTTGGGTGTTCCAAGGTGAAGAAAAGCACACAAAAGTCATCCGTTCTCGAAGTGTTTCGTAAAAGATGGTCGCGACATTTGTCTCAAAAGTGGGTCATATTGCGATAATTCCTCTTAATGAGCAAAGAACTGTTACTGCGGATTGGTATACCACCATTTGTTTGCCAAAAGTCATCACCGAGCTTCGAAAAATCAACCCCGAGAGAAGAATCATCCTCCACCAAGACAATGCAAGCTCGCACACACCCAAAAAACAAGCCAGTATTTAACGGAAGAAAACGTGGAATTATTGGATCATCCTTCATATAGTCCCGATCTAAGTCCTAACGAGTTCTTTACTTTCCCGAAAATTAAAAACAGACTGCGCGGTCAAAGGTTCCAAACACCAGCAAGCAGTTGACGCATTCAAAAATGCCGTTTTGGATCTGCCAACAAACGAGTGGAATAAGTGCTTCGAAAATTGGTTCGAGCGCATGCAGATGTGTATTAATCTTCGTTTAGAATACTTCGAACAACAATAAAGTCATTTAAAACTACCTACCGTGTTGTTTTATTTCCATATGCAAAACTTAGAAGACATTCCTCGTAGTCATAAGTCAGCAATAAATCCAATTGAACAAAATTTCGATTCACAATAATAATTCTCCACTTTTGCTAGAAAAGTTATGCTAAAATAATGATTTTTGGAAAAATTACTACTCACGTAAAATCCTCCGCAAAACAACTGGTTATCCTCATAATTTTTTGAAGCGGTTGGATCAAATCTCCATCTTGAACTCCTGCTAACTGGCTCTAACATCATTCCATGACCAGCCACTTCTTGGATGACAACTAAAAGTAACGCGCAAACTGATATTGTTACCGACAGTGATGCCATTGTACTGATACAAAAGGTGGTGTTTAAGTGCCCAAAGAATACCTTATGACTTTCAGAGTGGTTAATCACGGTTCTGTGGTTTTATATACCATACCTGGTGAAAATAATACACAATGATTTCGCGTATGTCTCATCGTATAGATAAGATAAAGTAAATTTCCTTGTATCAAATGAATTGAGAAACTGGGGTAAGCCCACGATATCTTATAGATTGATTTGAAATTAGGGTATCAATTTCCTGTAAATTTAACCAGAATTTCGCCGATAAACTAGATAGCTCAAGAACTGGATCTATAGAGGAAATATGTTTTCAACTTTATGCCGTTTAACGTTGATCAAGTTACGAAAATAATGTTTTCCAGATGGCTACTGTCAGCATCAATAACGGATCCTGAAGCTTCCACCCCACTTCAATGAGACATCATGGAAACGTTTCTCTCAAAAGATGCATTACATACTGGGCTGTGCGAGCAATAGCTCCATCCTCTGACCCTTCTTTAAAATGGGGGACGTTGGGATTAGGATGTTTTGTGTGAAATTTTTCTAGGATGTTACGTCTCCTTGAGAGGTGGTGTGAGATGGTCTGCACAACCTCCAGATTTGAGCATCATTATTTCTCTGGGGATATCTAAAGGAAAAAATGCTTAGACATCCTCCTCACACCCTATTTTTGAAGAAGTAACCGCCATTCTCCACGATATGTGTGAACGAGCTCAGAGCCCCAGGAGTAGTATCCAACAATCTGTTGCTACTAACAGCCACCATCATGAAGATACTATATTCAAAACTGTATAATGGGATAAACTGCTCATTCCGAAATTAAAAACATATTTTTTCTATACAAGGTGTGCCTTAATGATATGCGAACATTTAAGGGTGTAATAAATATCTAGTTATTCAATCTGTTATTCAAATCTGTTCGCTGTGACATCTTTTTCATTATTTAGTTTTTACAATCTTGTTAATAATGGTGAATTATTTACATGCAGAAATGGCGGAAATGCATTACGTATATGGCCTTGCCGACGGTAATGGTGAGCAAGCCAGACGGATTTATCACCAGAGATATCCCGATCGTGCTTTGCCAGATAGTCGAACCTTTTCTAATATTCATCGACGAATTTTAAGAGTACATGCATTACTTCCCATTGATTTTCCAAGGCGTGTGACCTTTTGTCAGTGGTATCCTCAAAAAATTACACAAAATTCGCAATTTGAATCAATGATTCTGTTCACGGACGAAGCTAATTTTTCTCGAAATGCCATTCAGAATTTCTACAATAATCATTTGTGGACAGAAGAAAATCCATATTCCGTAACCGAAACCCATTTCCAACACCAATTTTCGGTTAACGTATGCGCAGGAATTATTGGCAACCACTTTATAAGCCCATTTTTTTGGCCGGGACGACTTGACGGACAGACTTACCTCAATTTTCTTCAACAACAGTTGCCTTCGCAGCTTAATGATGTTTTGTTAGTAATAAGAAACAATATGTGGTACATGCATGATTGTGCATCAGCGCATTTCAGTGTAGCGGTTCGTAATTATTTACAAACTGTTTGAGAATGGCCACCAGGTCCCCAGACCTCAACAGTTTAGATTTCTTTTTGTGGGGCTATCTTAAGACAAGTCCCATTAACACTGTAGAGGAAATAAGAGAAAGAATAGTTGCAGCTTGTGATAGAATAAAAAACACTCCAGGGATATTTCAACAAGTGCGCAATTCCATGAGAAGGAGGGCGGAAGCATGCATACTAAGTGAAGGGGGCCATTTTCAACAATTTTTGTAATCATTTCGTTGGTTTTAATGTTATGTTTATGTTGTCAGTTGTTGGTGTTCATTGCCCCTAATGTGTTTAATTTTTCCAATTAAATTTATAATAATTTTGCAAGTTAGACAATAGAACGGTTTTTATTTTATTACTCAAAAATGGCGCATCGAAGGAAAGCAGCTCAAGAGAGATCATTTGTTTTAAATTGAACGGGGAATTCCAAAAATTGTTATTTGGCAAAAAAACATTGGCGTACCATTTATTTCTTAAAAAATATCGAGGCCAATACCCGTACGCACGCCACTGTTAGAGCAAAAAATTATTTTTGCATTGAAAAATATGCAACTTTATAAACTTTCACTACGTACTGAATATCAGTGAAATATCTGAAGCGGTTCTGAAAATATTAACTAATCTCCATGTTTTTCCTAAAACTTCAACACCCCGAGTTTTTGGAACATTTTTGGACCATAGTTTATAAAGCAAACTAACATTAGTTTTTCATGTAGATTCACACCCTTAAATATTCGCATTTCATTAACACCCTGTATATTCAGATGCCTTTTATAATAATAATAATAATAATAATCATAATAATAATAATAATAATAATAATAATAGCGTTTATTGTCCAACAGTTACCCCATTTATAGGACAATTACATAAGCACAATTAAATAATATTCAGTGGTGTTAAAAAAAAAGAAGTTCTTTCAAATATAAATAAGCCATTCTAACTACTGAGTTAAGCGAACAAGTAAATATATCACAATGACAGCTAATACAATTTAGATGTTTACACATAACATATGTAGGAGATTTGACTAACAAGTTGGTCCTAGCTCTTGATAGCTTAAAAGTTACATAGTTGCGTGAAGAGAACGAAGGAACATTGAAATTAATCTGTGCCAAAATGACTGGGGAGTCAATAATGTTATTTAGCAGTTTAAAAAGGAACATGGCAGATGAAACTTTCCTTCTGCATTCTAAACTATGAATTTCAAAACGCTCACATAGTTCCATATTGCTAATGCCTTGCTCAGGGTAAACTCCTTCAGATTTGAAGTATAGAAACTTTAGAAATTTTCTTTGGACCCTCTCAATATCATTTATATAAGTCTGGTAATACGGATTCCATACAACACTCGCATATGTACATATGTAAAATATAAGACTTTTAAGGCCCTTAAGTTATCAAATCGCTTACAGTTCCTGACAATGAAACCGTAAGACTTAAAGGCTTCCGAAACTTTCCGCGAAATATGAGTAGTAAATGTTAATTTATGGTCATATATAATACCCAAATCTTTGACTATATCGCTTCTTTCCAGCACCACACCATCGATATTATAGTTGAATACACGAACATTTTTCTTTCTGTTATAGCTAACTACTCTGCACTTACTTATATTTAGATGTAATTTATTGAGATCGCACCAAATCCTAACACTACTTAACTGCATCTGTAAATCTAAGCAATCCTGCACGTCACTGATTGATGAATATATCTTCATATCATCTGCAAAGCATAACTGTTGACCATTCATACTTTCACAAAGATCATTTATGAATAATAAAAATAACAATGGTCCCAAGTTGGACCCCTGGGGAACACCAGATGGGGCTAAGTAGGTTTCAGATTTGAAGCCATTATATTCAACAAATTGTTTTCGCTCTGACAAATACGACCTGAAGAATGTTATAGCGCTAAGTGAGAGACCAAAGTGACCAAGTTTCATCAACAAAACCTTTTAAAATGATAAAACATATCGACACATTTTCGAATGCATGACTTGCCTTTTGTACCTACTAGTCATCCATGGAAAAATCCTTAAGTACTATGGAACCGATAAGGTTCCTAAATAAAATTCTGAAGATCATAGTCAATGCAAATGGCAAGCTCCAAAAAGTAGCGGCCAGGCACGAAGAAAAGCTGCATCAACATAACCATGCAAAAGCTCTTCAGCTGCTGGACATCCACAACACTGTCGGACAATTGAAGAGGACAAATTCGTACGAACGTGTTTAGTGTTCTGCGCAAAAAGCATAGTATTAATTGAACATTCAGATTATCTGATAAGGATTAAGCTAATGACACAATCACTATTTACTGTGATGTTTTAATATTTGCCATGGGATATGATATTCATTGTCCATGTAGCTTAGAAGTTAGTAATTATTGATGTATAAGACTATGTAGAAATCTACGGACATATCAATAAATACTGATGATGTAGACCACACCTACTAATCATGTGACATTCGTCTTATCTTGTGAGAAGACAAAAATTCTAAATACAACCATCATCGATTTGGGATAGGAATTATCCGCTGTCTTTCATGACTCCCGGTCCTAGCGTAAAATACATCCTATTTGGAAATTATGCACCTGATTTTCTGGCGAAACGTTCTTCCGTACAAAGAATAAATACGCAATATTTTTAGAAATTTTTCATAGGTAAGTTCAAGATATTGTGCATTATGAAGCTGAATTTGATTTTCGGTCTCAGTTGTTCCAAGTGAGCGGGACTTCATGATTATATCGCTAAATAAAAGCACATATACGCGGATAATTTTTGGCGATGGCCTAAGGCCTAAACACCCATGGGGTACCGTATGGCTATAGGGGGATACATGGGAAAGAGGGAACACGTTTGCATGCAGCATGCACACATTCTGGTCCTACGAGATCCGCCGGGTAGTACCTCCGCATTCGACAGTTAGAGACCGTCTACCACATACGGACAATCACAACATCCACAGCTAAGAGAAAAATTCTCTTGAGACGGGATTCGAACCCGCGCAGCGAACGGCAACTGATTAGGAGCCCGTAGAGTCTACCACTACGCCACTGTTGCTGCCTTGTCTATTTCTTACTGACGACCAAACGAAAGTATTAGGGCCATTTTTAAAGTAAGAGCCGATTGCGCATGATGTTAGTTCAACCGCAGACATTATTGACCAGTATCTCACTACGCCGACATTACGTTTCACGTGTCTGTCGGTATTGGTTTTGTGATTATACTGCTTTGTTTGTCACCAAGTCAGTCACAAAGCCAGCATATTGTGAAGTGCGCTCAGTAATTCGGTTTTTAATTTTATAAGTTAATGTACAAATCTTCTACCGAAAAAACTTTTTTGCAGCTAGTAGAACATGCAGATTGATCTGCGGGAGGACC